GTAAGAGAGCCAAGACATACAAATCAAGATAACACCAATTCCAGTCGGCTTTCCAGCGCACAAAAATGCCACGACGCTCACACCCGAAAAGCTCACCATCTGCGACATGTCATGTACAAAATTAATCATAACAAGATAAAATGGGGTTAATGCCTTAAGGGAAACAGAAAAGGTAATGAAAGAAAGAAGAAAAAAAGGTCTTGACTTTCACAACTTAAAAGTATTATTACTGCAGAAACTAAATTCTACCTTTAAAGTATCCACAAAAGCTACAAATAGCAAGTGTTTGAATCCTGTACAAAAAGTCCTAAGACCTTGTTATGCTAAGTGAGATAAGTCAGGCAGAGAAATACAAGCAGTGTATGATATCGCTTAATATGTGGAATCTAAAATAGTCAAACCCATTTTTTTAGAAAAGGGTACAAACTTGCAACCAGTAGTAAATACAACATGGAGAACTAGTGTATGTATGTATACAATATTGTACTATTGTTACGTAATATAAATCTCACTACAACAGCAATCATATTACAATATATAAATGTGTTAAAATAACAAGCTGGGCCCTGCCCAGTGTGGTTCAGTTGGGTGGAGCATCATCCTCTAAACTGACAGGTCAGGGGTTCAGTCTCCGGTCAGGGCAGGTAGAAGAGGCAACTGATCGATATTTCTCTCCTTCTCTTTCTCCCTCCATTCCCCTTCTGTCTATAATAAATAAGCATGTCCTCAGGTGAGGATAAAAAAAAAAAAGTTGTACACCTTTAATTTATACAATAATTTGTCAAATTTACTCAATAAAGAAAAAACTTTTAACTAAAAAAAAAAAACAAAAACAGAAAAGCATTAACTACACTTAGCAAAACAGATATTAAAAGCAAAAAAGTCCTAACAATCTTTCTAACTCAGTGTACTACCTCTTCAGACTCTGAATCAAAAAACAGGCTGCCCGAGCAAGGGCTTTGAAAGTTCTATGTAAATTGAATCCCAACTCGTATCTGCCTAAGGCCACAGAACAAGCCACTGATGGCTAAACCTTAGGTATCTTCATCAGTAAAATGAGGACAGACGGTTTGGTGGAGAGCAGGACCAATAACATGGCATTGGTCTGATTAAGATAGCATAAAGTATATAAAATAAAGTGGAGTCATTTATATCAACTAAAATGCTGTCAGCAAGCCATGACACTTTGGTTCAAGAGGAAAATTACCTAAGTCAGAGCAAGCGCATCTGGCAAGAAGACTTATCTGCCTACGTGGTCAGAGTAGCCGTCTGCAGAGCGAGACCACCCATAGACAGGCTCCTGGGGAAATTCCACACTTGCCAGCAGGGGTGGCAAGCAGAACAGTCATGTGCCACCCACAGGCTCCTGGTCAAATTCCCCACTTGGCATCAGGGATGCCAAAACATTTATCAGAAAGACCCAGAAGGGTGGATTTCACCACTTTCAAGGTGTAAGGCAGGTTCCAAACCACTGCTGAGACAGCTGAGCTCCACACACCAGAGCGCTGCTCCACGCCATGCTGATCTCCCTTGGCATCAGCCACCAGATGGTTGGACTGAGGACTTTGCCTGTTCTGCTGGCTCCAGAGGTTATTCTTTGCAAGATGCTAACAACTCCCCTGCCCACCATGTTGTCTCTCTGACTGGCAGACTGAGGCTCTGAAACTCAGGTTCATTATTTCTCATTGATTGCTGCGTATGTTATAATCCTCTTAGATTGTCAGGGTGTGAGTAGGACACTACTGTATGTTGATGTTCTACTTTGAGTGAGCCTGCAGTCAATAAAAGCTGAGTAAAGAGCATAGTTGCCGTCTGTGACTCGTCTATTCCTTGGTGCTGGGCTGCTCAGCAGGCAGCTAGCCGAGGAGTTGCCCAGATGACTTATGGGAAAGACTATATCATGAACATACACTTGTGCCAGCTTGGGATAAAGAACATAATAAATAGTTATCATCACCTAAAATTAGTACTGGAAGAGTAAAGAATAATAATCTATGAGATTTTAACATGAAATGATGGATTTTGCTTCAAGTATATACTTCAAACTATCTACCTCAATACTGAAATACTACTATGCTTCCTAAAATGTGTACAAATCCTCTTTGCTGGCTTCCCCTAGACTAAGATCATCCTCTGTTTGTAGGCTCAGGATCACAATATTTCTAATGCTTATAACTGTTCATTGTCCCCAAGCTAGGCTTTAGGTTCTTTGATGGCAAAGCTATGTCTTGTTCATTTCTAATCATTTATTTAATATTTGAGTAGTTACTCTGTGCTTGGCACTAACATTGGTCCTGACAATAAAGCACTGAACTTTCAGAAGATTTGTTTGCGTTGGTTCATGGCCTTTTACTGCCTGTCGCTGAATTTGGTACAATCAGCTTCTCCAAATGATGTAAGTTTTAAAGGTCTATTTTCACCGAAAGTTGTAAGTGCATTTTTTTAACACATTAGTGTCTGCCCTCTTAGAGATCATAGCCTAATGAGATAAGAGACATTAATAAGTATATACCCATTAGTGATAAGTGCTATCAAATAAAGAAGGGTGGGGGCTAGGAAGTACTGTAGGGGCTGGGAAGCTAGTATTTTACACAGGTCATTAGGGAAAGCCTCACATATAACTGAAAGCTGAAATAAGTGGAGCATGTCACACTGATACCTGAAGGAAAGGAGTCATCCAGAGACAGAGGGCAAAGAGCATCTGTAAAGACCATGAGGCAGGAACACGGTTGTGTGGAATAAATGATAAGAAGGCAAATGTACATGGGGGGCAGGCAGGGATGACAGACACATGGGCAGAAAAGGTCTGTGACCTGACCTACGTTTTAAAGAATCACTCAGGCTTCTGTATGGAGGACAGAGAATAACAAATGGAAGCAATGAGCCTGATTAGAACACTAAAATTACCTAGAAGAGACAACAGAGGCTTGAATCCAGGGAGCAATGATGATGGTTTGTTGGATTACAGTTAGGTTTTGAAGACAGAATCCACAAGATCTTTTGATAAACTAGGTGTGAAGACAGAAAAAGAATCAAGGAGAGCTTTCAGAAGATTTCATAAGAGTAGAGTTGCTATTAACTGAGACAAGAAAGTCAGAGGCACAGCTTTCCTTCCCCAGAACCCAGCAAACTGCCTTGTACACAGTAGACACTCAAATATTACTTGCGAATTAAATTTAACTGAATAAACTCCCCCAAATGAAGCATTAAACTCAATGTATTGCTTTCTATTTGCTCTAAATTTTTTTTAGCAATGTTTGTTAAATACACAAAGACTTAGCCACCAGTACAGTTCACGTGCTAACAGGGAAACCTTACCCGGGGACACAGCTCCTAATCCTTACATCTCAAAGACCTGCTTCAGTTTTAAATGTACAATCCTCCTGGCTGTAACCGAAATCTGCTATGAAAGAAAGCTCTGTGACAGCCTGAGGATTCTTACACCCAAAGTAATTAACCTGTACGTTAATGATGTCATATTCCTGGAAGGTACAGAAGTGCAAAGAGAACTCCCTAGGCCAGAATTAAATTAAAATTATAATACTTTGTGATAAATTTTCAGAATGGGACAAGACTGTGCAAGTCCCCTAAAAAAATAAGCCATCAGTCATCAGCATTTTTTAAATGGTCTCTTCGCCTTAAGCAATTAAGTCCCTTCAAAACAATTTCAATGAAAAATTAAAATCTGCTCAAGAAAAGTGAGATTTTGCACATCTTCCCCCCAGCAAGCACTTTTCCTGCCAATTAGTAAAAATGAGCTTCACTTAGGGAAAAGTTGGGTATCGTGACCTTTAGCACTTCTTAGTCATAGTGTCAGATTTTCTAAACCAGCACCCTCGCTTAAACTCCATGAAGAACCACGAAGTTAGCAGAAATATATTCAAAGCAACTCTTCTAAAATGAAGTTACCATCTTTTTCTCCCTTACCGTTATGTAAAAAATGTTAACTCAAGTTTAAGTATCATCCCTCTGCCACATTTTCCCTAATGCCCCGCCCTAACCTTAAGTGTTAAAAAAAAAAAAATACGCTTACAACTTTCAGTGAAAACACAGCTTAATAACCTAGTATCATTCGGAGAAGCTGATCATACCAAGCTCAGCAACAGGCAGTACTTGCCTTCTGCCAATCAGTAAAAGGCCTTGAACCAACCCAAACATATCCGCCGAAATGCCAGCCAGATTCCCCGCATCGCCCCCGCGCCCTGCCCCCAAAGCTGGCCAGGAAACAACACAACGGCCACTGACCACGGAACCGAATCCGAAAGAGCCCATGGTAAGCGAAAAAACAATGATTTTTGAGGCAAGGTTGAGGCAGGTTTTCAACCACAACCTCTTAGCGAGTGAGAGCCTGGCGACCCACACTACGTTCCCCACTGAGCGGCGCACAGTCCTCCCAGCTCCGAGGGCTGCGCGCGCGCGGATCAGGGCGAGGTGGAGCGAGGGCTCTCCCAGGAAAGGAGTGGAGGGAGTGCCCCGGGGTGCCCGAGGAACGGAGTGCGAACGGACGCGCGTGCCGAGGAGGAATGCGCCGTCCCCTCCGGCGAGGCAGGCTCAGCGCCTAGCATAGAACTCTGAGAGCGGGGAGCCCCACTCGGGCTTTGCCCACCCGGGCAGAAAGGCTGGAGAAGCGAGGGGTGCGGGATACCCCCCACTCCACCCTCCCAGGAACGGGCTTAGGAAGCCGCCAGTTCCCAGTACACCGGTCGGGCGAAAGGGGGCGGAAGGGGGGGCTGCCGCTGTTTCATTTCTGGTGTCATCCCCGAGGTAGAGGAAACCCTAAAGAGACGGGAGCTGGCAGTGTGGGTGGGGGAGGGGAGCATGACAGCGAGTGGGGCTGCGGGCTCCGAAGGACGGAGGGTGGGGTGCAGCCCCGGGAAGGGAAGGAGGGCGCAACCCCGGCCCGGGACCAGGGAGGCGCGACTGCCCGGCGGATTCTGGAAAGCCGGCGCTCCCAGGCCAGAAAGGGGAAGGAGCCACCTCCTCCCCGCCCCCACACTCACCATGTAGAGGGTGAAGGGCAGGCCGAGCAGAAAGAGCCACAGGTAGAGGTGCAGCGCGTTCACGAAGGTGGCCTGGTGCGGGTCGTAGTACCAGCCCCCGCTGAGCGCGGCCCACACCCCCTGCCGGAGGATCTGCAGCGTCTGCGACCCCATCCCTCCCCGGCGCCGCCGCCGCCGTCGCCGCCGCCGCCGCCGCCCCCGCCCCGGCCCCAGCTCTGCCTCGGTCACCGGAGCCTGCGGCTGCCCCGTCTATCCTCCTCCGGAGCTCCGGGACAGCGGGCCGGCGCCTCGGCGGTCGCTAGGGCTGCTGCAGCGGGAGGAGGAGGCAGCCAGCGAGGAGGAGGAGGCGGCGAGCGGCGGGGCGGAGGAGAGCGAAGAGGAGGAGACCGACCTCCGGAGCGTCGCCGCCATCTTGTGCCCTGACACCCACAGCCAGAGCCAGGCCCCGCCACGCGCGGCCCGCCGGTGTCGCCACCGCCGCCACCACGACCCCCCGCCGGCCGCCAGCCCCGGGCCCGGCGCAGAAGAAGGCCCTGCGCCCGGGAGGGACGGGCAGCAAGCCGCGCCCCCTTCAGCTCCTCCTCTCTTCTCCCCCCGCCCCCCGGGCCGGCTCCGCGCGGGTGCGCGCAGCGCCTCTGGCACCGCGGGCGCCTCCTGCCGACGCCGCGGGAAGCGTGAGCCGACGCCTCCCCGGCGGGCGCCGGGACGGGGCGCAGAGGTTTTCGGAAACCCCATTCATCTCCCGGCAGCAAATCTAGCAAGTTCATTGGTCAGTCCCTGAATCTAACTTTCACTCTCCGAAACCATGTCTTCAGAACCTTGTCAGCACCCTGGCTGACGTTTTATGAAATTTAATAAAGGCCTAGGAACAATGAAGCTAGTACTGAGATAGTCACTGAAAGCCTGGAAGAAGTAGGTACAGCGGATGACACTCGAAAGATCACAAACGCACCAAATTTGAGCAAGAATTGTATAGGCCCGTGGAGTGGACTGGGAGCCCTGGGGCGAGAAAGACAGCCTTGGTCAGTATTGGGAGGCCTTAACCACTTCCAAAGACAGATAAATTAATAGAGGTTACAAGAGATGTTAAAGTGTGGAGCAAACAGGTTTATCATTGTGCGCGGTGATTTTATTTTTTAACGTGCTGTAACTTGTAACCATTGTTATTAATGGACCAATCCAAACAGCGATGAAACATTAACTGTTATTGCACTTCAAGTCACAATAGAGTCTTGTATTTCTCTTTTTAATAGTTGTAAAAACTAAGAATCATTCTTGGCTCTGTGTAATGTTTATAAGACTTGTCTGATCTCATTGAATGAAATTTTTTTATAGTTTGAAGTTTGAATTTATGATAGACATAGCAATAAAAGTACTCTTTTATATTCCTGGATTAAAGTTGCTGTAATTAATGAGAAAAGAAAGAGCCAAAAGAAGCTGGTGGCGTTTTAAGAGTATTGAAAAACCATTGCAATACCTCCCAGTGCCATACCCCTTTACAGTTCAAACATTTTCACACCTATTTCATTTGACCTTCACAACACTCCAGTAAGGGCAACATGGAGGCTGTTCTTATTTTATGGATGAGAAAACCGAAGCTCAAAGTGTCCACATTCTGCAATAGGTTGCTGTGAAGATCTCTGACACCAGCAGTCATCCTGACAGCATGAACTGAAACTTTGGAAGTCTGTTTCTCAGCACTCTCTACCTTGTCCATTGAGGTAAGCATTTGAACTGATGAACAACTGCTTAGCAGCTTCTGGTTACCTGTGGCCAGTTTAAATGTACATCCAGCTCTCAGAGTAGTCCCAGAACCAGCTGTGGCAACATCGCCTGAGAACTTGTTAGAAATGTAAATGTTCAGGCACTACTCCGGAGAAATTCTGGTCTTGGGACCCAGCAATCTATTTTAACAAGCCCTCTGGAAGATTCTAACGTACCTTTAAGATTGAAATTACCACTATAGAACATCATCCCCAGCCTTGATCTGCTTCCTTATAACCACAAAGCCAACAAGTTCCAATAAGGTACCTTGAAATTGAGAGATGTGAACAAACTCTGGCCAAAATAAGCCTTTAAATATATTAGTATGTCTAAAAGCAAAATTAAGGTTAAATAATACAAGTTTACAATTAAAATAGTTGCCTTGAGTCTTGGTCTTGGATACAAGGTATTGTCAAGTGTTCATTTGTTTCTTCCAAGGAGACAGGAAAGCTCTCTGAGCAAATTTTGGACCTGATCCCAAGCTTTCCGACACAAAGAAAGATGTAAACAAGGATAAAATTCCAATACCACATCAGTTTCCACACCAGTAAATGTCTGCTGTAGTTTAATATAGAAGGATTAACTGTAATAGTGAGGTAGACTGGAACAAGTAGATACATCCATGGAACTGGAGGCAGACCCCACTGGTGGGAAGAGCTTGCAGCCAGAAGACATATCTGGAGGGTATAGAACCAGCAGCAGCCAGGAAGGCAGCCAGCATCAGGCTGGTTCAACACAGAGAATGAGAGTGTTGTAAGCCAGCCGCTGGAACACAATCTTGGGAAATCCAGGAGCAGACAAAAATTGGGAAATCATGGCTGGCGTTAAGAAAATGTGTTGCTTATACCAAGGCCCCAGCCTCAGTGCTGGATTCCGGGTCTGGATTCCTCTCCCAGTGAGGAGCTGATAAAAACAAATCAAATTCAAATCCTTGAGATGATATACTGGGCAAGCTTGTGGGGCAAGGACTTGGGCTCAGGGCAATAAAACACGTATCCAAAGGCCAGACCTGGTAGAGAGAGTGAGAGTTAGAAACTTAATGTATAAAACTGGGACAGAATTTCACACTGATCATCATTGCCTTATGTTGAAGTCCCCAAATGTTAATACACAGCTCCAACTCCTTTCCAGTACAGCTGGAATTGATCCAAGAACTAGAGATGGGAGTCATATGGCATCAACCACTGAATAAAAAGGGGTCAGCAAGATGGGCAGGCCCAGAAGGTTATAGACTACATCTTTCAGCTCTGGACTGGTGAAAGCATTTTAGAAAAATGCTAATTAACTGCTTAGGGAGTTAGCAATTGAAAGAATTCAATGAAATGGATGACCTTTCAGAGAGACTGAGTCAGTAGTTTGGGTGGGGGTGGGAGGAGAGATAATCCTACAGTACTTTTTTATCTGAAGCTTTCAAAATATTTATGAATGCTGCCACTACAAGCTTCCTATTTTATGAACCGGAAGCCAAGTCACGGAGAGGTTAAATGTTTTGCCCAAAGTAACATACCCATAAATTATAAGAGCGTGACAAAAATTTTGGAATCTCATTTGCCAAGTGTTAGCCCTCTTATCCATGCGTAAGAGCCATTAATAATGTTACACTTAGCATGTCAAAGTTAGCAGCCATGACACACTTCCAAACCACCACCTGACATTTGCTCATCTTTCAGCTAATTCTATTAAAATTATACTCCCTGACAGTTTATAAGCCCCTAGAGGACTGAGAATGCTCTGACAGCAGATGTTCTCTCCTGCCTAAAAGGGACAGAGCTGAGTGTACAAAACCTTTTAATAACTACCACCCAAGCCCACCTTGGAGCAGAGGCATACAAACGGCAGCTCCCATCCATTTATATGACAGACATTGTCTCCTGTTCTTCAGACATCATAGCCCACGTGCCCTGCCAATAACCAAAACGCAACAGGTTTCCATGCCTTCCCCCGCCACCCCGCCCCAGACCAGCCTTTCTTATTTATTTCTCTCTGTGAAATCGACATTTTCCAGCCTCAGACTTGAAACCTCGTATACCCTCCCCCAATGTTTGGCTTGCTACAGTCTTTTTCCTGCTCAATCCTTCCTTCGCGTTGCCAGAGCAACCACCCTCCTTGATGCCCTCATCAACTCAAACCAAACAGCTTCCTATTGCCTCCGATATTGCTTCAAAACCAGGCTGCATTCCACCAACAAATTAATCTCCCAAATCCACTTTTCTTGTGCCCCTTCTTTTCTCTAAAGGTTTCACTTCTCTTCTTCTCCAGAGGTACTGAAAGTGTACTCCTGAGCCAGGCACCCACAGTCCCCACAACCTAAATCACCATTTTCTCTGACTTCGCTCAGGTTACTCCTCACCTCAAACCACTTTTTACTGGTGAACATCAGCATACCCACTTTTCTAGTTTTAGATACCAGCCCGTCCATGTATTACATTCTGCCTCTATGCTCTTATGACATTTGCCTTACCTAGAAAACCTTGCTCCTCCAACTGCCTCCTAAAATCCACTATGACTAACCCAAGAACATTCATCCATTTTTTAAATAGCCTGGAGCACTCATATGTTCCATTTATTAGCACTGCAAGGTGTACTATTTTATATCTGCCAACTAAACCGTACATTTATTATGGGCAAGACACTTAGCCTGTAGGACAATGCCCAGCAGAAAGCTGTTCAGATGAATTAACAGTCAATGTAAGTTGAAAAAATAAAGCAATACAGAAAGTGACAGCTTTCCAACAAAAGATTTCAATCTATTTTATCTTTCATTTGGTAACTGTTCAACATTCTGAAGCATTTCACCAGCATACGAGATCAATTCAAGGTAGGAAAAAAGTAGAGAATAAAGGTGAAGATATTTGGAAGAGAAAGGAAAGGCCCTAAAATTCTTTCCCGGTTCTCTTCTTAGTCATTTGCTGTGTACCGCTTTACATCACCTCAGGAAAAGTAACGTCAAAGGGAGGCAGGGGGCTTTCCACACCTTACGCAATATAATTACAAAATACCAATGTCTGGATGTGGAGATAAATAAGTGAAACAAAAACAACTCATCCTTCCTGGAAATCTCAACTCAATCTATTCTGATTTTTAAAAACGTCAATTCCATATGATGAATACTTTAGAACATGTTTTAATCGGCACTAATTCGGTAATTCTCACTATGGTTTTGTGTCATTTGTCATATCTCAATTCACTTTTCTTAAACTCACACACAACACGTTGGGACAGGGCAATAAAAAGAAAGAGGAACTATATAGGATATTGCAAAACTCCCCCGATTGGGGGGATCCTGAAGTAGAAACAAATACACACGCATTATTTCCCATTTTTGGACCTTAAAGTATTCTCCTATGTCAGTTAGATAACCTGGTTGTGTTTAGGTAGACTGTATTAAAGAGCTGGTTTACCTGTCTTTCA